GAACATTATTCCGATATTTAAATCAATCGAAGAAATTTCTAAATGGTATAATAAAAATAATGATTCTGTGCATACGTGGGTGAGAGTGTGCATGGGTGTACGTACGTACGTGGTAATATATTCATTCATTTATTTGTTTAGAAGAAATAATTGCAAATCTTGTAATATCATCATCATTGTAAAAAGTTACTCAGAAGATCATGTAATAGTAATACATATTAACAACATAAATAATGCGTAGATGATGATAGTTTAAGGAGTCGTTGTGTGTGTATGTGTGTGTGTGTGTATAGAATGATACCGTTGATATTGATTTTAACTTAATATTTTTAATATTAATATTAAGTAATTTTTAATAAATTCATTTCTATCAGTTTTTCTCCTCCTCGACTATTTCAAGTTATGGCGATCTAACTTGATTGGTTGGGCGGTTCAATTATTCTCTATATTGGTTAGTCAAAACTTTAAAAAAGAAGAAATTGACAAGAAAAGAGATATACAAGAAATAGAGAGAATAATACAGAAATAATAAAGAATTGTTCAAATCAAGATTTCTCATCCGTACAATTGGATTGATTGGTTACATTGCAAATCATGTTTATTTTTGTTCATGTTACAACAAAAATATCTTTTTATTTTAAAAACACTACATAATTTATTTTATTACTTTATATACATTTACCTACATTTACATTTACATTTACATTTACATTTACGTTTATTTTTATTTTATTTATGTGTACATCAATTTAATCAACAATCAATAAAACTAATAAGTAATGAATGTGTGGGGAAGATTTTTGAATTACTCATTTAATACTTTTGTTTATTGTTTATTTAATTTCTATTTTTTTTTATTTTCCCTCTCTTTCTCTCTCTTCCTCTCTCGCCAATTCTCTTTCTTGAGGTGAGGAAATGATGATGTAATTTTGGACCAAATTGGTATTTTTTATTTATTGTTATGTTACGATAATTAATTTTATTCAAAAAAAGTAATATATTATTATAATAATAAATAATAAATTATAATAATAATAATAATAATAATAATAATATTTATTAATAATAATATTTATTAATAATAATTATTACATGGATTACTATTTATTAATTTATTAATTAGGAAAAAATGAATGGATAAAAATAAAGATTAGCTTTGTGATGGAATAATTATAATTATGTGTTTTATATTTTTAGTAAACTTTGTTGTTTTATTATTCACTCATTCACTCTTACCCTTCTTTTTAGAGTAAAATTAATCATTTCTACAATGATTAATACCACAATCATCATTCATCACAAGAAAATTATTTCAATTTATCCAAAAATATCAAAAGATGTTTAATGATTTTTAATATGTATTTTTATTATTTTTTTTTGGTTACAAACAAGTTAAAAATCCTGTGTCAATTGGGGTTCTTATCTTGCTTCAATAATAATGATTGATGGATGAACGATTGATACGCCTAATGTATTATTATTTTTTTATTTTATCAATTTGAAGACAAATCTATCATGTGTGATTTAATTAATTATATAATTAACCAACTAACTGTTAATGTTGTGCATACATATATACATACATACATATATACATACATACATACACATATACATATAGTACATATATATTTTCCAATTCATCCATCCATCATCATCCATTTACTATCTACTTTGTTATTTTTAAACAATTATTTAATTATTCTTTGATCACTTGTTCGTCTCTCGATATTCAGTAATTATTATTATTTACTAAATGGGTGGTTGTTATACTAGAAAGCACCAATTACAATTCACCGCAATCATCATAAACTCCCTTTCTTTCTTTCTTTCTTTCTCTCTCCTTCTCTCTGTCTGTCTGTCTGTCTATTCGTCTCTCTATCCATCTCTTTCTCTCTTTCTCCTCCCTCTCTCTCTCCCTCTCTCTCTCTATCCATCACCCCCATCTTCATCACCCATCTCCATCTCATTCATTCTTTTTTGTCGCTCATTGCAATCAATCATTCTAGATTTTACAATTTCCATCTGATAATTAATTAATTGTGTTGTATGTAGTAGGCTGTTGTCACATCAATTTCTTTCATTATATCATTGATTATATATTACTTATTTGGAAATGAATGAATGAATGTCGATGGTGTTGATCAACTTTAAAAAATGTCAAATCTTTTTTTTTAAACGTGATATGTTGATGGCAGATGTTTTAATTTAGTTTCTTTTATCACACCAATTATTATTATTGTTATTTATTACCTATTATTTATTGGCCAATGAAAATGCTCCAAATATTCCGATGATTATTTCCAAAAAATGCATTCACCCACAACCCACCTTTACTTTTTGGATAGGATACTCGAGATATTTACTACAGGTAACACAAACACGACATTTATAGTCACAAGAGCAAAATTTAAAAGAAAAAAATGGACGAGAATGAGATTGAGTGTGTGTGTGTGTGTGTGTGTGAGCGAGAGTGAGAGTGAAAGAAAATAAAATTTATTATTAACACATGAAATCGATTGTTTGTTGAGAAAATTTATATGTTGTGTTTGTTTATATTTATATTAATCTGTTAATAATAACAAATTGAACAAATTAATTAAATAAACACAAAAAATAATCAATTGGTTTTGCAAATCAATAATAATTGTTGTATATGCTTTAATTCTTTCCATTTATCCATCTATATCCATCTATATCTATTTGCTTGTTATTTATGTATTTTTAAAGAAGTTTATTCTTTTATGTTAACAAAGATTATTCTCTATTGTCAAATTTGTTTGTTTAAATTCGTTTGAAAATTTTTGTGAAAAAGAGTTTAACCTTAAAATATTTACTAATTAATTAAAATTAAAATTAATCTAATTCACACCCACAAATAATTATTGTGACACAAAAATATGTCTTTACAACACGACACGCATTTATTTACTTAATTAAGACTTTCTTGACAAAGAAAATTAAATTGATTAATTAATTATATATATGCACATATAACACTAAACACACTAATTTTTGATTGGTTAGGAGAATTTATTATGTTTTTCATTAAAAAAAAAAATAAAAAAATAAACGTGAATTGACTTTTTATGGGTAGCAATATTTATTATATGCATGTATGTATGCATGCTATATTTATATATTTTTATAATTAGTGAAAAAATTTATTATATGTATGCAACAATTGAAAAATATTATTATTATTATTATAATTTCTGTGTCTTCTGTTAAAAGAACAAATAAACAATACAATCAATCTAATAGATTCAACAATATCATTAAAGTATATAAAATACCTTAGTGTGGTGTTGAATGAATGAATAATTATGAAAAGTAAGAGAAAAAAAAAGTTCGAGATGATTTTAATTTTTGATTTATCAAAAAAAAAAAATAAAAATAAAAATAAATAATTGGGATAATAATAATAATAATAATAATAATAATAATAATAGTGATGATAATGATAATGATAATGATAATGATAATACGACGAGTGAACAAAGAATGAACGATTTGAATTGAATGAACGAGAAAACTTTTGGAATTCTCTTTTTATTATTAAAGAATTCGAATTAAAATTTAAAACATAAAAACCATTCAAATAATATTACTGATAGCATATACAGACAGACAACATTATTTATCTAACTCACATGTATTTATTATTTATTTGCATTTGCTAACATACGAAATTAACCTTTTCGTGCACGTGATTTCGAGCAAATAAATGTTTTAAATATATATCACACGTCGCATAGTATTAAATTTAATATGTATGTAATTTAAAGAAAAATTACCTACCAGTCAGATACATTGTCATTATTAGCATTAGAACATAAATTTAAAAATAACCAAGTTAACGTCGTCGGTATTAAACTAATTACCAGTTTCAATTGGTTAATTGTTTCTTCTTCTTTTTAACTGATTGATTGATTGATTGATTGATTGATTGATTGATTACTAGCTGTTTGTGATTAATGTGATTATTATTGAGTGCATAATAAATAATATAATTTCTTGGATTATGTGATGAAAAAACCAAGCAACGTCAAAAACATGTCCCCTGCATCATGACGGATTTGATTTGACTTTTTAGATGTATATTAAAATAATAATAGTTTAATATTACATAAACATTCCTTTTTTGTTTATTGTTTATATTTTACAATAATAATAAAAAAAAATAATTAAGCAATAATAATAATATTTTTAAAAGTAGTAGAAGTGTTGTAGGAATGATATTTATATATTTATATATAATTCTTTAATATTATTATTTTAAAAAGGATAAAAATAAAAATAAAAATAATAACTACATATTTTATAATTTATAATTTTTTATATAAATAACAGATTCTAAATATTTTTTTGAGAATTAAATTTTTCGAAAAAAAATTTTATTATAATAATAATAATAATAATAATAATAATAACAATTTTTTTTATTCTTTGAAGAGTTTAATTATCAAAAATAACAATAAATAAATTATTTTTTGTAAATTTTGTAAACGAACAATATTATCATCTCATATCATTATTCTTCAAACACCATATTCTTTTATATATATTAATCTTGCCGCATTATTATTATTATTCTTTTTATTATTATTGATTTTTTTTCAAGGTTTTTTTTAAAGGATTTCTTTTTTTTTTAACGATAAATTTTTCTACGTTTTGTAATCATAATAATAATATTTTCTATTAATATTAATTTTTTTTTTTTATTAATTTTAAATATTATTATTTCATCTCAATTCTCAATTATTACAATCCAATCATAATTATTTTACGAAATTTTTCTTTTTTAATTACGATTTTAATTCCTCTCACTTCTTTGCTTCTTTCTTTGATTCACACATTTTGTGTAACATTTGACTCTACACATACATATACAAAAATTAATTAGTCTAATTCGATAATCAATCAGAAAAAAATTTTTCTAAATCTTTTTTTCCAAACCTTTTTTTTTTTCTATCAAATTTTTTTTTTTAAATATAAAGATGGATTTACTTACAAGTTTGTATGACATTCAAGATTTAAATAATGATCCAACAGTTTTACAGCTAGATGGTTATCGCTCTGCTTCACCTATTGCTATTATCCCAAACAACAACAACAACAACAACAATAACAACAACAACAACAATTATGATTACAACCAACAACAACAACAACAACAACAACAACAACAACAAACTTTTACGCAAACTTATTATCATAAGCAACCAGAAGTAGTGGATCTCGATTACCTAAGCAGAATTTCTTATACAGAGCTATTAGAGGAAAGTTATAACGGCGTATTTTTTATCCCAACAATTAATCATCACAACAACAATTGTTGTCTATCATCACCTGATGATACATTCTACAATCTTAAATTAAATGGGGATGATCATCAACCACATTTTCCTTTCTTTGACCCTTTTGACGATATTGATAACAACAACAATAATGCTTCATTCGCCCCATCAATGTACGATGTGACAGACATGACAAGAACTTTTTCAAGCGAAAGTGGTGGAAGCTGTCCCGATCTTACCAATTGTAGTCACCCTAGCATATGCACAACTCCTTTAATTTCATCACCACAAGATCAATCGCCCATAATGACAAGTCAACTACTTATTAATCATCTTCATCATCATGATAATAGTAGTAGTAACAATGTTAGTTTCTGTTCTTCAATATCTTCTTCTTCTTCATCTCCCACACTATCATCGTCAATAACATCATCACACATTGGCAATCTGGGTAATAATAATGGTAACAATAATAACAACAGATCTTTAATGTCAATTCCGCCAGTAATAATTACTTCTCCACCTTTAACAACCATATCACCAATTTCTATATCAACAAATCATAATATCTGTTCTTCCACTTCTTCTGACATTAATGATGATGTCGCTCCTACGCCTAAACGGCGCGGTAGAGCAAAGGGATCACGTAAAATAAAAAATGATGATGATTTAATGCTAGGAATCCTCAGTAACAATAATCAATTACAACATTCTACTACTACCGCTACTTCTTCAACGAGCGCGAATACATCTGATAATAACACAACATCATCTTCAACATCTTCTTCTTCTTCATCGTCATCATCATCATCATCATCATCCAACTCATCGTCATCCAATTCATCATCAACGACAAATCAAAAACCAGCAAAATCAAGAGGTAGGAGAATGAACAACAATAACTTAAAGATCACAAAACCTGGAACTAAAACTTTCGAGTGTACTTATTCTGGTTGTGGGAGAGTCTTCAAAAGATCAGAGCACCTTAAAAGGCATATCAGATCAATTCACACATTAGAACGACGTAAGTATTCACATTATATCTTTTTTTTTGTTTCTTTGTAACAATTGATAAAATATGGTTTTTTTCAAATCAATAACATCATAATTATTATTGTTATTATTAATTAGCATACGCGTGCACGCATCCTCATTGCACAAAAAGGTTCTCCAGATCTGATAATTTAACACAACATATTCGCGTTCATAGACCAAATGGTAAAGAAAAGAATACAAATCAAAAAATCTTTAATAATTTCACACCCTACTTAAAGACCTATCAAGAAACAACTTCTTCCCCAACTTCGCCATCACCAAATCCATCCTCATTACATAATAATTAAATAATATATTATTAAATGTAAATATATATTATTGTTATGATGTTTGTTATGATGTCAACAAATAAATAATCACCAAATTTATAAGAAATTTCAATTTCAAATTATCATTTCCTTTACTCTTTTTTTTTTCCAATTTTTCTTTAAATTTTTCATGAACAATAGCGAGCCAATTATTTTTTCTTGGTGTGGTGGGTTGGTTAATATATTATACGCATATGGATGATTACACTATAGTTTAATTTTTTTATTCTTTTTTTTTATTTTTATTTTTTCTAAAAAAAAAAAGAAATTATTTTATTAATTATAATTTATAATTAATTAATTAATTAATTAATTAATTTGATTATATATTTTAAATATATAAATATTTCACTTTTTTTAAATATCTTTACGAATTTTTTATTTTTTATTGTGTATATTTTTTTTTTTTTGTTATATTTTATCGTAATTAATTATTTTTTTTATTTTTTTAATTATTATTAATAATTCACCACCAATAATTTAATTATTTTGTATATTTTTTCTTTTTTTTTTTTTTTTTTACTTTTTCCATTTACGTTTATTCTTCCTATCACAATCATATAACCAACACACACACTATCATATCATTCACTATAACACACATTATATAACACACATTATATAACACACATACATACATTCATATCTAATTTCATATTTTACGAACTATTATTATTAATTATCATGATTATCTTTTTTTATTAATAATAATTTTAATATTTCTTGTATCAATTTTCTTTTTTTTATTTCTCATGACCAATTGATTCTCGAATTCTTACCATTCAAATTATCTTTAATTATGATACTAGTATTAAAACATTTTATAATTGATTAATTAATTAACGAGCGATGATAATTACTAATAACACACAACAATAAACAAGTCATTGATTTCTTTTAGTTATTATAAAAATTAATTCTCTCAAATGAATGAATGGATCTTTTGAATACGTGTACATATGTTGTGCTTCGAAAATAAAGGAAAACACTTTAAATAAAAAATTAGCCAATCAAAAAAGTGTTATTGCACTCAAACGTTACCCAATCACCTCGCATTTAGTTGTGATTTTTGAATTGAAACGATTCCACAACATATATTAATTATTATACAATGACGAAAACAAAATAATGTTATAAAACATCTATGCATATATATTGAATAAAATAAACTAATTAAAAAAATAAATTTCATGTTTAATTTTAATTTAGTTTACATACAATTACATAATCCACCGCTAATCTTTTTTTAATGAACTGCTTATTTTTGATTAACTAGATTAATTTTAATTATTATCTCCCCACCAAAAATAAATGCATGTTCAAAAATTTTTTTTCATTTATTCCATTTATTATTATTTTATTTATTTTATTACTATATTATTATTGTAAATAAATCAAACACGAGAACATTTTTGGATTGTAGCATGATTTATTAATTAATTTCACAAAACATGATAATAATAGTAAATATACAATAAAATAAAATTCAATACTTTAAGGTATTTTGGTAATTATGTAATGTTTATCATTTTGTTATGTTTAAGGATTTTATTATATTTAATATATTATTATTTCTTTTTTTTGATCTGTTGTAAAATAAAATTTTTCCGTACTTTATTATACGCTAGCCGATAAAAATCTTATTGCAGATATAACATCAAATTAATTCAAATTAAAAAACCCGTGATTTCTATAAATAACTTTTGCTCTCTCTTTTCTATTTCTAATTTTCCGCTCTTCCCGCCAATTTTTTTTTCCATCAAAAAAAATTAAAAATTAAATTAATAGTGTAGCAACATATAAGCGAAAGGTTTCTTATGACCGTCGTTCGTCGTCTAATTATTATTTTTTTTTACATACACGTTTCAAAAAGAAAGCTTGTTATATAAAAAAGGGAGAACGCTCGAGCATTTATTGACTAATAAATAAAAATAATAATAATAATAATAACTGACCATAAATGAACGTATATTTCGGAGTTATTCGCATATTTTCCACCCCACACAATTTAAAGTTTTTTTCAATTATAAATAAATAAATAAATATAAACAAATAAACAACAAAATCAAGAGATTTTAATTTAATTTTTTTGACTACATTCATTATTATAATTAATTTATCCTTTTTTCGACAGTTTCAAGTTTTTTAATTTTTTTAAAATTCGTCTGATCGAAGCTTAATTTTTATTTTAGGCTCTAGATTTTTTCCCATGGAAAATAAAAAACAAAACAAAAAAGAGCAAAACATAATAAGTAATAATAATAATATTACAATTATTATTTTCAATCAAATCAGGGAATCCGTGAATGAAACATTGATAACAATCATTTTTTTCCAAACCATATTGTTTAAAAAAATCATTTTATAAAATGCTTTCACAAAAATAACAATTTTCCCATAAAGGCGACCATCAATATCAAGTAATAGTGATTTAAATCCGGATTTTAGTTTAAGTGGGGAAAATAATCGTCCATACACTCATACACAAACAAACACAAAACACACGGATCATCCATCACTTCCTTGACATATCATTCTCCCATTCAATGGTAAGTATTGGAATTCCTCTTTTTTTTAATAAAATACTTGTTTGAACCCATGTAGATATACGTAAATAAAAATTCAAAAACTAATGAATTAAATCATTTATAGAATATCGGATATACACACGGACCTATCAATACTAATACACACACGGACATTAATTTATATATCCGGTTACGGAACTGGATAAAATTGTTACCGACTTATTCCATATTTTAACACGCACAACAATTTTTTTTTTGTTCTGCGAGTTAAGGGCAGCTAAGTCACGCCACAGCATTCACTTTTTGATTTACATTTTACCGAAATAATTAAAAATTTTTCTTGTAAATTCTTTGTTTTAAACAGCGTTTTTAATTATTATATTTTTTCAATTTTTTTTTTACGATATGTTAACAGATCGTAGCTTGTTACGGATAACAATGAGACAAAAAAAAAATTTTTTTTGAATTGGATCGTAAATTTTAATTTAAGCAAAGCAATTATTCGATAATGCATGATGCAAATCGATATTTTTAACAGACATGCTGTTTATGCATACGATGAAGTCATCTCGCATATATACTAGTATATAAATTGGGAATCTTGTAATTAAAAAAGGCTCAATTTTTATAGGGAACATGACGTGAATCGGGAAATATATAAAAACTGCAGAATTTGTTAAGGGGTTGTGCCCCAAATGGCATTATTTTTTGGGGGAAATTTTCGTAATCAAAATGATGTCATTTTTGGACATCCCCTCCCTAATCGAGATGTATATCATATGTGTTGAATGTCTAATGACTGATGTGTGTGATGGAAAGGTTTATTCGAATACATGTGCTGACTTAATCAATTTATTTATAGTATATTATTATTATTATTCAATTATACTTTACTATTTTTGTTAATTGATTAGATATACTTGAGGGATTTATAATAACATAAAATGGATTTATACAAATTTGTGATTTAACATGTTTCTTATTATTAAAGACTAAAAGAAACCAAATTTTTGGTTGATTACATAATAATAAATAACTGTTAATATATGATTCTATCATATCATTATATTATACATATATATCATCATTCACTCTTCGTCTGATCTACTACTCCGGTTCATATTAGTTCCGTTAGAACCATCAATTACTATTAATGGGTTATCTTGAGGACTGAATTCTTCCGTATTCACATCATCACCCCAGTATCATTCTCATTTTCTCATTCAAACCATTGCTAATTATATAAATTCTTCTGCCTGTTTTGCAAAATATGATTTTGTAAATTAAAAAAAAATATTTTTAAAGTTTTTTTTATATAGTATGATATATATAATACGAATATATTATTAATAATTCCTAAATAATAAATTATTATTTATCCATTTTCAATGAAATTCTGTTACACGGGACGCAGCATAAAGCTTAATATCGACCATCGACTTTCAAGTTTCTCAACAAGTTTTTAAAAAGTTCCTTACTACATTTTATTCATACTATCACCAACTTATTCATTTATTGATTAATAAAATGTCTTGGTTCATTAGCCAACTATGATTTGCTTGCTTCTTGTCTATCAATTCATCCACTCATTCTCGATCATAACTATTATAATTATCAAATTTTTTGTATGACTCACATGAGAATTTAATTTCTTGAATATGAACAAGCGAAACGAGTAAGATTAATGCGAAAGATTTAATGAAAATGCAAGAGAAGCAATTGCTGATGATCATGATATGGCTTTTACAATTATTGGTTAGTAGCAATGTAGTGTGTAATTAATTACTAAATAAAAAATAAAAATGTTAATAATCATTGTTTTAAATCATTTCTCCTCTAAAACATGCAGCTTTGTTTGGAGAATACCTGATATTTTACGTGTTAATAATAACATTTCGGAACATCCATCCATCATCAAAAAATAGCTTCAATATCAAACATGATTTCCCTCGGATCATCGGCTTTCTCTCTCTTTTTGTAAAAAAAAAGTTTTAATTTATCTTTATAGAGTTAATTCAATAAGTCATATGGAAAATAATTATTTATTTTTAATCTTGGAAAATTTTTTTTTACAAGTAAAATTAGCTTGTAAATAAATAAGCATTGTAACACGCATGTTTTTCAAATAAACCATGTGTTGCTAGGAAATATGCAAGATTCAGTGATTATTAAGATAAAAAAATTTAAAATAAAAAAATTTCATTACAAGAATAAGAAAATTTCCAATTTTAATTTAATTTAAAATAAAAAGTTTAACTAATAACTAAAATAGCCAATTTTTTTTTTATAAATAAAATAAAAATAGGTTTAAAAATACTAAAATTAGTTTATTTATTTTTCTCACATTTTGTCAAAGATATATAAATATATATTAATATATATATCTACAAATTATATTATTATAGTATAGGTTGTATGTAAATGAATTAAATTAATTAATTAAATCAATGGATTAAATGAAAATGGATAATAAAGTGGGCAAGTCAATTAATTGATTTAATATGTTACACGAACATTGTGAAAAAGATTTCGTGACTAGCAGTAATGATACATCACGTTCGAGATCATCACGATCACATATCTTGAAGTAATCATAGTCAACGGGATGTGCTAACCAAATTTGAAGATCTACTTCAGATTTGTATACATCCGGTCAAAATTTATTGTTGAGAGAAATGATCGAGTTGATTCAAAAAAAAAAAAAAATGAATGATCAAGAGACGATGGATTTTTTTGCCAAAGTAGTCCAAGTCCAACATTCAATTGATCAAAAGAAGAAGAAGAATAATGATATTATAATTACACAATTATACAATTGCAAAACTTTTTATCATTAGACGAATAGCGAAAAAAAAATGCATAATCAAATTATCAGCACCTAAAAAGGTTGGTCAATCGATCCTTCAATTCTTTGATGATTGTTTGATTTGTTGTTCAAGTGTTATTTTTATTAAATATTAAACAAAATCTAACTAATGATATGATTGATTGATTGATTGATTGATTTTTATAATCTATCAGCCAAGAGAAGGGAGGAGGAAGAGCAATTAAAGTTGGAAAATGAAAAATTAAAATGTAAAAAATCAATAATATTATAGTCAACATCCTCTAGCACGAAATCAATTACTTGTTGCGTTAACTAGCATAAATAAATTCCTATACAGCACTTGGAATCTTTGCTTCAGATATTTAATTGGAAAGCTGTTTATGCCAAAGTCATTTTCACTTTGACAAAACTGGGAGAAATAAAATCAATTACACTTCAATTAGTATATAAAGAATATAAAATGCACAATAAAAAATAATGCTAATAGAACAGGCAAGCACTAATAGTGTAAAAGATATTAAGAACATGCGAGAGAAATAGCAAAGTTGGCCTTTGTGAGAGGCTCTTTCTGGCCTGTGTATGTAAGCCCAAAAGAAAAATAACAGTGTTCTGAAATCATTATGCACACGCCATCATTCAAAAATCAACATGTCAAATGTTAGTTAAAATTATCCTTTAAGTGCCACCTATTTCATGTATTATTAGATTTCTAGGTTCTTTTATCTTTTTTTTTTTAAAAAATGTATTGCGGATCACGTACGTTCAGGTGCTTCCTCGTGACGAGATTTTTCAAATCCTTGAATTTCGTTATATCCTTTCGGCTAATTATCAGATTAACCTTGTTATTAGGGGTGGGTGCCTGCACTATGACGACACGGCTATGTCGTAACTCTTGGAAAGATTTGCCGTATGTTGTATTCTACGCGTAGCTTTGTTATTACATGATGTGTGTCGTAACCTCAGGTGTTAAATTATAATCATTACTACTACTACTACTACTATTACTACTACATTTACTTATAATAAAAAACAGTTACGTTTATGAATGAAAAGACATGTAAATATCAATTTTTTATAAATATTTTAAGAAAATTTAGACCAATTCCTGAATTTAACTTTCTTTACTTTTTATAGTCTTTGCATCAGGAACTAACATATGAATTAAAAATTCACAAATTACAATCACGACCATAGACATGACTTTTTTTTTTTTTAATAAGAAATCAAGCAAGAAATGTTTCAGCTATTTTTTCAAAAAATAAGTTTTTATTATTTATAAGTTAATTTTTACAATTCTTTTATAAATCTCTATTAAATAAATATAATATAATTTTAATATATCTATCTGGTTGCCTATCTTTTCCCTCTTCCCCATTTAAATATAAAAATCCAAATTTTTTAAAAGTTTTCTGTAGTAATAATATTAAAAAAACATTAATATTAATTTAATATTCAAATCGACAAACAATTAATACTTGCAAAAATAAACAAAATGATTATTATTGCTATTTTTACCTTTTCCATAAACGAAATTTGTGCCCTCTTCAAATCCTTGACTCCATAAATTACATTTAGTATTTATTATTTTTCCCAGTGGTTTTGGTCCACAAAAGAATACACCAACATCAGTGGAGGGATGTTGATCCCTCATTTTTGAAAAAATCTTATCCCAGTTTGGTCTACCATAATGTGTTGGTGCACGAAGTCCAGTAATGGTATCTTTAACATTACCATCATCATTCACTAATATATTACCAATATCGGAATCTCGTAAACGTGCTGTAAGATAAGTGTGAATCTCGATGAATTGATCAATATCTTGTTCTTCAATAGCTAGTAACAATGATTGGAACCATTCAAATGACTATCATCATAATCAATAAATTTTTTTTTTTTTAAAAAAAAAATAATATATGTATGTGTTAATATGTAATTTACAGCTTCATGTAAAACCTATTTCCCGTTCTCATTGTACAATAATAATAAATTTTTTTTTGAAAAGACTCACATCATAATCACGGCAAATCCAAAAGAAATAAACTTTACGTAGCTTGGTAGATTTTTTTGGATAGTTTACACGATACCTTCAATATCAATCACGACAACAGTTAATAATAATATCAATTTAATCATCAACTAAACTAGCTATCCACCAATTTCTTTTTTAAAATAATAAATAAATAATTACCAAATACTTTTTAGAATACTTGCAAACGGTGTTACACCAATACCAGCACCAATCAATAAAGAAACTTCAAATTTAAATACATCTTCTGAAGCACTACCAAAAGGACCATCAATCATCACTCTAGGTAAAATTTTCTTCAACTCTGGACTATTTATTGAAATATCAATTCCATCATAAGTACTTTTAACACGATTTTCACTCTTTGCTTTTTTACGTAATCTTTCTTCTTCCTCAAAGTCACAACCTAATTTCTTTGCCAATTCTCTAGTAAAATCACCCACAGTCCTTATATGTACAGATATATAATCTTCTTCTGGTGCAGAGGTTAAAGTAAATGGATGCCATTCAAATAGAGATATTGCAGGGCAGCATAAAAAGATGTATTGACCTGCTTTGGTCACAATACTTTTTTTTTTGATTTGTATTTCAACCACTTTTGATGGATGCATAACAACTTTTGATATATATGTGTTTTGACGTGCACGTATCTCACGTAAAATACGTTCACCAATATAAATTGTACCAGACGCTATCCAATATTTCCAAAACGAAGCAATCTCATCACAAAATGGTGGTCTATCAGGTTTTATCATACAAAATGATCCATGGAATGCCCATGCACCAAAAAAAGGTATAAATAGATGATGCAAATACCAAAACATATTAAAATTTCTATGTCTCTGTTTATCCATAGCTGTATAGACCATTATAAGCAAAGATATCAACATAACATAACCAGTTGCGCCAGGACCACTTAAAAAATTTAATTTCAAAAAATAGATGAAATCTTCATTCGAATTCATAGTCAATCTTGCAAAATTTACCCAGTGAGAAATTGTGTGTACCAAAGAGAAAAATAATATTGACCAGCCGATAGCCTTATGAAAATCGATACTTTCATCAAATGGTATGATGGTATTTAATGGAGTTGTACGAAATAAAGAAATCAAATTCCTACAAACTGGAAATAATATAAGGGCTGCATCTAAATGTAAAACCAAGGCCGAGGAACGAGCAATTGGATATGTTATACCCAAATTAGTACGAGCTATTGTCAATTTATCACTAAATAAGAAATTCAAAAACGCCATTGAAAAAACTAATCCATGAAGTAAAATCCAAGTTGTAAAAAATATTTTTCGATTTCCTAAAATAATATTAAATTTTTTAAAGTCAGAAAAAAAAAAAAATAAATACATAAAATATGTATTGATGGCAGTTTTTTTTAAAATAATAATTGGTCAACTTGTATACAAATTTATACCTTCATTAACCATCCAAGCTTGAAATTTTTCATATCTTGTTAAAGGTTTTTTAACAGTTACAGGACCGCTATTAGAATCAAGTCTTTTCAAATTCTTAACCGAATCACCTCTAGCAACTGGCTTTTTGATGGAGTCAAGTTTTCCGAGTTTGCTATCTTGGTCTAAAGGTCTTTTGGGAAAATCTTGTTGGTTTAAAACTATTTCATCAGAATAAATAATATTTGGTCTGTCAGTACCAGTTGAATAACTCTCTTTTATACCAAAGCATTAACATATTCATTAGGGTTTCAAAATCATTTGGATGGTTGAGCATATCATTATCATTTTTACCTAATTCTCCCATTTTGAACTTTTTTTTGTAGTAGTAGTTGTTTTTATTATATACACAAATGAATGTATGCGAGTGTATGTATTTATATCTTAAGAATTAGTAACCAATAAACTCGACCGGCGAGAAAAAAAATTAAAAGGAATGAAAAATAGAAAATGGAATAATTGAATTTTAAAAAAAAATATATTTAGTTATTTTATAATTGTTTTAACATTTATTTTAAGTCCAAACTTGGAAAAAATCACTGATTTTGATATTTTATTGGTCACAGTGCAGTCAGGGAATATTCCAAATATGGAAATGAATTCCTGAAAAATCACGTCGATCAATTCATATTAATATAATTAAAATACATTTTCTGTATTACACAGTGAAACTCGATTTAACGGAGTTTGGCCCAAGAAATTTACCCGCTAAATCGAAATATCCGTAAAAACGAGAAATTTGGAATTAGCGGATTTTATAATAAAAATCATGTGACATCAGTTAAATTTAAAAAAAATTAACAAATTCCACAGTATATAAAATATGTAAATAATAAAATAATAATATATATAAACAACAAAAAAAAATTTAATTTATTTTATTCTAGCACATAGTATTCTTCAATTCTTGTTTGTAAGAAGTTTCCTTCTTTAATTTATTGACATTTCTAATTGCTTGGAATCAATTTCCAATTTTTTTGTTGTGCATATTTGAGTGCAGTTTCCAAACCTTTTATAGCTTCTGTGCTTGTTTTTTTTTTAAAAAAAATTGATAAAATTTTTTTTTTGATTATAGACAAAGGTGGATATTTTTTATTTTTACGAATAATTATACAAGCCATAAAATTTAATTTTACAAATCATAAATTTTATTTTACTAGTGGTAGTATCCGTCGGATATTCGGATATTCGCCGATCATCCTTTCACAAAATTTTGGTATCCGAATACTCAATCGTCAAATAATTTTGACATCCGAATACTCAATTGTCAAATAACTTTGATATCCGAATATTTGATCTGTTTGCCAGTTTTGATATTCGGATACCCGAATATCCGTCAAATATCCGTCAAATATCCGTCGATATTAATGTCTCAATATAATAATAACGAATTTACTATATACGTTT